AGTTATTCCCAATGCCCAACAAAAACTTATTTCCGCTGTAAATTTTGCAGTTGGTGTCAATCCCCACCCCTCACCCCCCCCCCCCTCCCCCCACCCCCTGCCGGCTGATTATGTGCACAGTTAGTATTAAAGATGTTTATCTATAGTCAGTTATTAATAAATCTGGTTTAACTCTGAGCCTTAATTGAATTGACAAAAACACATTTCTTCAATATATTTTGCAAGTTTTCGCCATGGTGTCACCCTACCCCCATAAATGGTGTCACCCGGTGCGATCCGCACCCTCGCGACGCCTGTGGTGGGGTTATAATCTTAAAATGCGAAATGTTTGTGGACATCTGAAATGGATTACCCGTAATGAAATATCTGTCCGACCCTCGAGGTCTTTCATCATATTTTGTCTATCGTCTGCGTGACGTCTTAGTGCGCACGCGCAGAAAGACAGCCGGCATCAGAAGCTATAAATCGTGTAAGCCGCAGTTTTCATCCAGGCTGTTTATATTGGCTAAGTATTTGCTGGTAATTGCGTGACATTTTCGCACTGTACTTTGTTGTGCTATTGGCCGCCGTGGTAAAAAGAAAAACACACAAAGTGATTGTCCTTTAAATTAGGTGTGCTTGGCAATTAATCTCCCACAATAGTTATTGTTGTAGTAATGAATATGTATGACGTATGTATGTATGTAAGGGTTAGGATGAAATAAAAGTCTGGTAGATTAATAAAATATTTTTTGTAAGTGTAGATTTGGGTTTACCTCAAACGCATCCAAATGTAGAAATACAATTCTATTTCTGGCCTACGTAGGAAATAGTTTCCGAAAACGTTAACTTATTTTTTAAATTCGTGATGATATCCTTTAATGTTCCTTGCGTTGGTTATAATCGGCTTTGTCGTGTCATATCTCGCGTGAAATGGATTCTATCCTAGTCAAGTTCAATACCAGCTTAGCTTTGTTGCGTGTAGTAGCTGGAATCATAGGCGTAGTCACAGTGGGGGTAGCTGTAATTATAAACCTAGTATATATGTTGTCTTTGTAGGGTTGCTGTAATTATAGACCTATATGTAGTCAGTGTGTGGGTAGCTGTAATTATAGACCTAGTATATATGTAATCATTGTGTGGGTAGCTGTAATTATAGACCTAGTATATATGTAATCATTGTGTGGGTAGCTGTAATTATACTTATAGACCTAGCATATATGTAGTCTGTGTGGGTAGCTGTAATTATAGACATATATGTAGTATGTGTGGGGTAGTTGTAATTATAGACCTAGTTTATATGTAGTCTGTGTGGGTTGCAGTACTTATAGACCTAGCATATATGTAGTCACAGTGTGGGTAGCTATAACTATAGACCAGCTTATGTGTAGTATGCAGTAATTATAAACCTAGTATCTGTGTGGAGGCAGTATCACAAAAGTCTTTGTGTGGGTTGGCAGTAATCACCGAAGTAGTCTTTATGTGGTACAGCCGTAATCAGAGTTTCTTCCAGGCATCTCTTCAGGGGGGGGGGTGCACAACCCCCCCCCCCTCCCCGAACGAAATGAAATTTATATAATTTATATAGAAAATATATACTTTTAACAGTGTCCGCCCCCTCCCGAAGAAAGTCTACCGCCCCCCCGCCCCCGAAAATTTCAAGTACCCCCCCCCCCTCCCCCCCGGAGAAAAAAGTCTGGAAGAAACACTGGACGTTATTGATACTCGTAATCTTTATGTGGTACAGCCGTAATGATATACGTAGTCTTTGTGTGGTGTGGCAGTAATCACTGAAGTAGTCTTCGTGGTTGAGATGACCCTTGTGTCATCTTATTTTAACTACGAGCTGACCCGCGACGTAGCATACGCCGCTATCTAGTTGTTTTATTTTCTACTTATCAACATTTCATAATTTGTGAATGCGACCCTACCCCCCCCCTCTGCCTCGCCCCCCTCCCCCCATTCAAGGAGAACTTATCTCCCCTTGCTTTCAAATCGTTTAAAAACTAAATTCTCTGCCCCTAATAGTCGTCACATTGGAACCGGCTCTACTATTGTAAACATTCGTTGTGAACCACAGCACCGCTTTAAGGAACACCAGCTGGTGTTGACCAAATACGTTCAGCTCAATGTGAACCCTATTCAAGGCAGATCCCACTGACATCAAATTCTTCCCCATGTATATATTACCACAGGCAGATCCCGCTTAAAGCAGGTTCTTTCCCTTAAAGATCTTACCCAAGGCGGATCTTACCAAAGGCGGATCCTACATAAAACGAATTATTCCCCATGTAGATATTACCACAGGCGGATCTTACCAAAGGCGGATCTTACCAAAGGTTGATCTTACCAAAGGCGTATCCTACATAAAACGAATTATTCCTCATGTAGATCTTACACAAGGCGTCCTACTTAAACTAGAATCTATCCAATAGAGACCGTCCCTAAGACGGATGCTACTCGAATGTTCTTGCACTCGACGCTCCGAGATCCAGCTTTTAACTCAACCCACTTTGCGGTCAGCACGAGAGTTAAGTGAAAGGGGGGGGGGGGAGTCTGTAATATCCCGTATTCTAACTCCGGGCTGGGCAAACTTGTGCAAGCCATGAGCAGTTTTCAATCTCGTTGTTTTTTTTTTTACCCTTAACATCTTTGTAGGAGAAAAATCAAACGTTTTTTTTTAATTTAATCTAGTAGAACTATGTACGTTTTTTTTTATTTATTTAAAACTCGTTTTTAAACTACAATTTTGTTTTTACTTTCTAGTATACGGCGTATAAAGAGAGTATTAAAATCTTGCAAAAAAAATCGAAATCGATATTTCGAAAAATGTATGTACAGTATTTTTTTTCTTTATAAACTTGATTATTTCTAACTCTCGATTCTATTGGAAGTGTCATCCTTAACCGTACTGCTCTTTAAGAATACACAAAAGAAGTCTTAGGGGAGCTCACTCCCACTTTATTTTTACTAGATGAATTATTTATTCAGGGACTAGAAAATACTATTGGTTGGCCTTGGTATTCTATTCGAGGATTTAAAAAACCAAATACTCAGTGAATCAACGATTTAATTAATTTAACAGTTAAACAACTGATTTATTAGTTCAATGATGATTCAGTTAAATTTGAACGTAGGCTCCCGACAAATGGGCTCCCGATATAATGACTCCCATCAAATGGGCTGCTGACGTAATGAGTCCCATTAAATGGGCTGCCGACATAATGACTCCCATCAAATGGGCTCCCGACATAATGACTCCCATTAAATGGGCTTTCGACGTAATGACTCCCATCAAATGGGCTCCCGATATAATGACTCCCATCAAATGGGCTGCTGACGTAATGAGTCCCATCAAATGGGCTCCCGACATAATGACTCCCATCAAATGGGCTTCCGACATAATGACTCCCACCAAATGGGCTCAAGTTTAGAACTAATGACGCCGCTCGTTTGGAACTAATGAATGATAAAATCGTTAATTAAGAACCGATTAAATTTTGGACCGATACTCTAAGAAGCAATGAACCATTCCATTGATAATTAGTGAAATAAGCAATGTAGACATTTTTTTTAAAGATTGCATCGCTCGCTACAGCTGCGCCTAGGGCGTCGCCCCCCCCCCCCCCTCGCCCCACCCGACCACACAACGCGTACCCGCCTACCCCACGTGATAAATCTGTATGATCTATGGTGCTGGAACCGTGAGCCCCCCGCGCTGCCTGTCTGGCGTATTTTGTCACAAGCTCCGTGTGTTGTTGTCGTCATTTCCAGCATTCCTGCGCACCATTCGTAAGATAGCGTGAGGCTTCAAATTTACTTGGATTTTAAATAATTTTTTTTAAACTTTCACTTAATGAAACTTTCTTTTGTTAGTTTTTTTTTATTATTTCACTTGATAATTTATTTATTTTTTTAGTGTAAAGAGGTCTAAATTTTAAAACTTATTTTGATTATTTTGATAAAGGTGATTTCAAACTTGTGAGAATTTGAGTAAATTCTTTAGGCTTTGTGATTAAGAGCACTGTTATGATTTCTAATACACTAGATAAAAGTTCAATTTAAATAAAATTAGTCTAAATTAGTCTAATTAGTCTAAATTAGTCTAAATAGTCTGTAGTTGCTAGGTATTAGCAAGGCACGGAGTGTTAAGCCTTCGTCTATGTGCCTTATGGTTAAACCGTTTTTTCTCTTTCCACCCAGCTATTACCCGTGTTAAATAACCAATCCGAGTACTAGCTTGTTTACCAAGTGTTTAAAAAGTCAGAGTTCGAACCCAGGTACCAGCATCATGAAGCCCGATTCCCCCACCGTGGAAAACGTGAGTTCTCATTTCTTCTCGGTCTGTTTGTTGCTGGTTTCAGCGTGAGTACACCCCCGACCTTTGTGTTTCTTAACGCGCGAGTCACGAGATTGAACCAGTTCAACACTGATTTCAGATTTTATTTCAGGTCAATATGTCTGTATCGATTTGTCTGTTGCCATGGTGATGAGATGGCCTATAGAATCAGGGCTTTAAGATTTGATGTTATTTTCGACTCGTAAAAAAATGGAAGGTTTAGCCAATTATAGTTCTAATAAGATTCGTACACTTAGACCCTTTCATTCCCTGTCATCAGTCCACATCTGTTTACTTAAGAAAAACACAACAAGTGCAGAATTTTAGTTTTAAGACCTAATGTCTTGTACGCTTTAAGACCTAGGACTTAACTATTGAAAGTCTTAAGGCCTACGGCAGTTCAGCTCTACGACCAAATAACCTGCGTCTGTAAGACCTAATACAGCCCGCTACATGACTTACTGGTGTAACCGTAAGACCTAATGTGAGTCCTCTACATGACCTACTGTTAGCCTTAAGACCTAATACTGCCTTCTACATGACCTACTGGTGTAACCGTAAGACCTAATACAGCCCGCTACATGACCTACTGTTTACGCCGTAAGACCTAATGTCAGTCCTCTACATGACCTACTGTCCCCGCCCTAAGACCTAACCCCCACCCTCCTGTGGTTCTCCCCAGGTGAACGAGGACGAGCTTAGCCTGAGGGTGATGAGCAGCCTGGCGCCAGCAGTCTCCGTCATCGTCAACAGCGAGGACGGCTCTGTGGAACCGTGAGTGGTGTCTTTGGTGGTGTCTTTGGTGTTGGATGTCTGGGGTGTTGGGTGTCTTTGGTGGTGTCTTTGGTGTTGGATGTCTGGGGTGTTGGGTGTCTTTGGTTGTGTCTTTGGTGTTGGATGTCTGGGGTGTTGGGTGGCTGAGGGTGTTGGGTGTCTTGGGGTGTTTGGTGTCTGGGGGTTTTTGGTGGATGAGAGTGTTTGGTGGGTGAGGGGTGTGGGGTGTGTTGGGTCTCTGTGGGTGTTGGGTGTCTGAGGGTGTTCAGAATCTGGGGATGTTAGGTGTCTGGTGGAGTTTTGTGTCTGAGAGTGTTTGGTGTTTTAGGGGTGTTTGGTGGTTTTTCTTTTGATTGAGATTTTTCTTTGGTGGGTTTTCTTGCTTGTAATACCCCACCTAGTAGTGCTGGCATATGCCCTATAACTGGGGGTGTTGTGTGTCTGGGGGTGTTTGGTGGATGTTGGTGTTGGGTGTCTAGGGGTGTCTGGGGTATTGGGTGTCTTTGTTGTGGGGCGTCGTTGGTGTTGGGCGTCTGCCGTGTCAAACTGAAACCAATGTCCGTACAGTGCCGTGTCAAACTGACACCAATGTCCGCACGTATTGATACTTTCTCCCCTTTATGTCTAACAGGGACTATGACATGGACGACGAGGTCATGAACTTCATGCACAGCCACATCCATAAGTAAGTTGTTTTGTTGTTTTTGTATTTTACACACCAAAACATATAACACGAACTGCATGCATAGCCACATCCATAAGTAAGTTGTTTTTTGTTTTTGTATTTTACACACCAAAACATATAACACGAACTGCATGCATAGCCACATCCATAAGTAAGTTGTTTTTTGTTTTTGTATTTTACACACCAAAACATATAACACGAACTGCATGCATAGCCACATCCATAAGTAAGTTGTTTTGTTTTTGTATTTTACACACCAAAACATATAACACGAACTTCATGCACAGCCACATCCATAATTAAGTTGTTTTTTGTTTTTGTATTTTACACACCAAAACATATAACACGAACTTCATGCACAGCCACATCCATAAGTAAGTTGTTTTTTTTTTGTTTGTTTTTTTTGTATTTCACACACCACACCTGATATAACACGACCTTTATACATAGTCACATCCATAAGTAAGTTGGTTTGTTGTTTTTTTTTTGTTTTTTTTTTGTTTTGTTTTTTTTGTATTTCACACACCACACCTGATATAACATGAACTTGATACACAGCCACATCTACAAGTAAGCTGTTTATTTGTTTGTATGTTGTTGTTTTTTTTTATTGTTTTTTTTTATTTCACACACCAAAACAGATATTGCACTAACTTTATACACATCCACATACCCAACTAAGTAGTTTTTTTTTTTATTTCACACACCAAAACTGATATAACACGAACTTCAAACACATCCACATACCTAACTAAGTTGTCTTTGTTTTGTTTGTGTATTTCACACATCAAAACTGATATTACAAAATGTGTTACTTTAACTGAATGTACAGCTGTTTACCAATATCTTAAGTGTGGCGACCTAGACCATAATAAAAGACGTGTTTTAAACCGAGAGTTATTGGAGGAGATAGGTTACATACAAATACTGCTCGTGCAGTAGGCCACGTATTGTCTAGATATCCAGCTACACGTAAATAAAATATTTACACGTAAATAAATAAATATGTTAATGGTAAAAATAACATTTTATCCCCGGAAACTCAATGTAAAGTGATAGTTGCAGTTGATCAGGCAACCCTTCCTTCGAATCTTTTACGCTATTTATAGTTTTGACTAATAAGTGTTATGGTTATACTTATAACTACAAAAAATCTATGGGATTAGAAAAAATAAAAAAGGCGCCAAGATTATTTTTTTTAATCGAAGTAAGCCGCCATGTCAAAAGTTTGGTAACTACTCGAGGCTGCATAGTGTTACTTCATCCTAACCGGAAGTGAGGCTAGCATACTCGTGGTCACCATAGCAACAAATCTGTTGACGGAAGTGATAGCCGATTTGATTTACATTACAGACACAAATGATGTTACGTTTCTAATTCGTTTCTATTACTACTGTTTGATTTAATGAGTAAAAAAAAATACCATAGACTCGATAGAAGTTTAAAAGCTGATTTATTATTGAAAATGATACTTTGGTTTTGTTTGATTTCAACTCTACCTGACCATGGTGTAGAGGCGATGGTTTTTTGTCATGTGACTAAAATATGGTCATGTGGTCATGTTTGGAGATTCAATAGGCTCTAGACCTGTTTACGGAATCTCTGGTGTCGAAATGGTGTTTGTGATGTTGGTTGATACTCTGTGATGTTAGTTGATGTTCTGTTATGTTTATTTAGTTTTTATGTTTGGCGATGTTGAGGTGTGTTTTGTAATGTTGGTTGTTGTTGATGTTTGTTGATGTTGGTTGTTGTTCTGCGGTGTTTGTTGGAGTTGGTGTGATTTTGGTTGATCTTCTGTGATTTCGGTTGATGTTCTGTGATGTTAGTTGATGTTGATATTTGGTGATGTTGTGGTGTATGTTTGTGGTCTTGTTTCCAATTGTTTAACCACTGCTGTAACACCATCCAGACAACTGTTGAAGTTTTGTGATGTTGGTTGATGCTTGCTGATGCTTGCTGATGTTGGTTGATATTTGGTGATGTTGTGGTGTATGTTTGTGGTCTTGTTTCCAATTGTTTAACCACTGCTGTAACACCATCCAGACAACTGTTGAAGTTTTGTGATGTTGGTTGATGGTGATGTTGTGGTGTATGTTTGTGGTCTTGTTTCCAATTGTTTAACCACTGCTGTAACACCATCCAGACAACTGTTGAAGTTTTGTGATGTTGGTTGATGCTTGCTGATGCTTGCTGATGTTGGTTGATATTTGGTGATGTTGTGGTGTATGTTTGTGGTCTTGTTTCCAATTGTTTAACCACTGCTGTAACACCATCCAGACAACTGTTGAAGTTTTGTGATGTTGGTTGATGGTGATGTTGTGGTGTATGTTTGTGGTCTTGTTTCCAAGTGTTTAACCACTGCTGTAACACCATCCAGACAACTGTTGAAGTTTTCCGGCAAAGGGGCGTGGGGCGCCAAGCAGAAGCCGCAACAGCAAGGGCTCATGGACCAGGACACCAAGGCCTATTTCGAGGAGGTCATCCGTGGCTCCGCCCTCTTCGGGCTCATGCCCTCGCGGGAAGACAACGATGGATTCGATGATGAGGAAGAGACGTTCGACTATAGGTAGCATGGGGCAGCATGTTGTGACGTAGCCCGGGCACCGTCGGGGTGGCACGGGCAGCATGTTGTGGTGTAGCACGGGCACTGCCCAGTGAATGGAGTCTTCCGGTCACGTGTCTAGATTAGAAACTCACCCTGTCTGTATCAACATGTTTTTGTTTACTCACCTGTGTGTATGTGCCAATTTGGCAAGCCGCCCAGTTGTCGTGTGTTGTTGTTTTTTTTTTGTGTCACAAGGGACACAACCAGGTTCTGCTTTCTATGTTGTTTGGTAGCTAGACATTTTGTACATCCGGTTGTTCATCGTCTGCTCAATGAGGTAAATAATGAGTTTAAAATACCGATTCATGTTTACAATGTGTAGCCTAGTTATTATAACATAATCTAGTTTTCAGAGCATAAAGTTGTTGAGTATTAATTTGAGAATTTACTGTTACGGTAATTTTCTTTGTTAAATGTTTCGGCGTGTCTTTGATGTCTAGATTAGTTTTCGATGAAACACCACTATACGTTTTAATTGTTGAAAGATACGTGTTTTTATTTGTGTGTTTGGTGTTTTGTAACAACAGTTTAACCGTGTTTAACCGCGTTTAACCTTGCTCCTTATGAAACGTCTCCCCTATGTAAACTTATGTATGCGTGTCTATTACCCCTAATGTAAGTTAAAATGAATTCACCCACCCCCACCCCTCTCCGCCACATACACAGCACTGTTAAAACGGATATCCACCATTTTTGGCATTTCCTGCTCTTATCGTAACCATGGAGACTGTACTCAACAACAAGGTCAAGGCCCTGTCTCCAGGATCCCAGACACGTTATTTTTGCCAAGAATTATTGTCTGTAAAAACATGTCGTGACGCGTTAACTTAATTAAGGCGCGGCTCTGATTATGGTTTAATAATAATTGATGATTGGATAATGGATAGAATTTACTGGTAGATAATGCATTGAAATTCCGTGAATAATGGATAAGGAAATTGTTTTTCCCTTAAATAATTTTTTTTTCACATCGCTTTGTATTAACATTAGAACGGATTGTGAGATAATTTTTTTGTACATTCATCTTAGCCCGATCTCATGTGTTGAAGTTTGCCTGTAGATTTCTTATTACACTTCTTTTTTTTTCATTCCATCAATAGGTTATAAATCTATGTATTTTTTTTTAATATTGGTACTTTTCGGTACCTAAATCATACCAGGTTTTTTATTTAATCCATGCCCAAATATAGCTATAACGTGTGTTTTTGTATAATCAATTTCCAACCCTTACCATAGATGTTTAATCCATTGTTAAACCTATATCGTTTCTCCAAAGCTAGACTGCTCCAACTCCAGCTTATACAAATGTTCAAAACAAGGCTTTCAAGTTTTGTCCACTCCCGGTAAAGTAATGGCAAGAGATTTGTTATGATAATTTTGTAGATTTCTAAACAAATGATGTGTATATCCTAAAAAAAATGTGAAAAACGGAGTTTGAGCAGTCTATAGCTGTTAGAGCGAATTTTAAATTGGGGGGGGGGGGGTTCCAAACCTCTTCCTCCCATCCACACCCTAGATTCACCTTAGGGTGTTCTGGCATACTCTTAACCCGCGCCTTATCCTAACTTAACTTTAATTAGCAATATTTTTTTTAAATGCCTATTAAAATCCCATTACACTTGGCGATGAGCAGTAGATTATGTGCATCTATAGCGTTATGGTAAGATTTAACGAAATAGTACATCCGGATAATTGCACTGACCTTGATAAAAAAAATTACTTCCCATTTTAGCTGCTGTCTAATAAAGCTTACTTGATGAGCTGCATTTTGGTATTTTCTTAATTACCACCAACGCTAAAATACCGCCATGAGCGATACACTGTTTATGAATATGTCGGTATGGCTAATCGATAGGCGCAGTTAATTATACCGGCAATGCTACATGCAACAGCGATGACGTCTAAAAAAAAACAATTTGTAGCCAGAGCGGCAAAAAACTCGTCATACGCAGATTTTTTACAGTAATCGTTTAGCAATTGCTTCGTGGATAAACCGCCATCTAACTACAACGACACTGGGCTAAAAATAGCGCTGCGGCATCCAAACATCGAGTTTTTGTTACCTTTCCGTAGGCTTAGTGGAATACTACTGCTACGTCATTGGCTGGAATTGTTTGATAGTGACGTCTTTTGTGACGTCTTTTGATGAATTTTTTTTTAGATTTTGGCTTGCGTTTCATCAAAACATGACGAAATGATGATTTGCAATAGCTTATTTGTTTTAATTTGGTTAAATATAATACAGGAATAATATTTCGGTCATATTTAAAATACCAATTGTCTGCCCATAAAACAGTATTGAACTACGCTTTAATTAATTAAATGACGTCAAAACCTAACATAGAAACGACGGTTCTGTTGAAAGAATAAACTTTAGATTTCAAATTAGTATGGGTTATGGATAATTTGGGATTAGGTATCATAATCTGCGATAACAGTTTAAGAGTATCGAGTTATTTTCAATAGAGACCACATAAACCACCTACAAGGGTGACACCTTAAGTCACGCTCACGAGATCACACTCAGAATAGTGGTGATTGCTTTTACAATGGTGACAGAATCACCTACAGTACACTGGTGACCAGATCACGTGGTGTACAATGGTGACTAGATCACCTACAGTACAATGGTGACAAGATCACCTCCAGTACAATGGTGACTAGATCGCCTATCGCCTACAGTACAATGGTGACTAGATCACCTACGGTACAATGGTGACCAGATCACCTACAGTACAATGGTGACTAGATCGCCTACAGTACAATGGTGACTAGATCACCTACGGTACAATGGTGACAAGATCACCTACAGTACAATGGTGACTCTATCACGTGGTGTACAATGGTGACCAGATCACCTGCAGATACCCTGCAGTACCTTTACCCGCGCCACCTGCTGAGCGAGACGCAGTTAACGGTTGCCATGGCAACCTGTCGATATCAGGCTATTTAAGGTTGGCGCTGCCGCATCAATCAGTTCGCGTTTATTCCCCCTGGGTTTATTGGCATTCCGGGGCTTGCTCGTGAACTCCGCGTGACCAATTTTATTTTTAACCACGCCATTTCCTCGGCTTTTGGGCGAGAAGGAAAACTTTAACAAACTGATATTTTAAACAGTTTTTGTGGCTTTCGTTTGTTAAATCACAGTCATTTCTTCCAGCTCGATACTAACCCCACTAAAGCAAGTGTTGAACATTATCCCAACAATCTAAAAATCGATGTAGAAAACAGATATATACATAGCAGTCTATTTTCATAAATTTGGCTGCATAATTCAGTGGTGCAGAACCGAATTAGCTTTTTTCCTACCCCGTTTGGTGCCCCCTTTTGGTCCTAGAACGGGACGTCCGCCCCACCCGCCCTCTACGCCTCTGCCCAGGTCTTAGCTAGCCTCTTTTACCCTAAACCGTAACGCCTAAAACACATTCCCTGTTAAATTGTATTACTCTCTTTATCTCTCTCTCTCTCTCTCTCTCTCTCTCTCTCTCTCTCTCTCTCACTCAAACACGCCCTTTCATCATAAAAACACTGCCCCAGGTAAATAATTATAAGCCCCACTCCTTATCTCCAGCCCCCCCCCCCCCCCCACCCCTACACCACCCCACATACACGCCCTTGCCGACGACATTTATTAGCCGCGTTTGAATTATTATTAAAGACCTGTTGAATAACCCCCTCCCGGTCCAATCCCCCCACCGTGTCCCTGTATTCATACAAGAAAAGATTCTACACCATCTGACATATACCGAAATAACTCAACATTTCCCTACCTTTAATTCAACTTTGATTTTTCTATTGATCTCAGAACCCGCTCTTAGGGGAGAAAATGGTTGCTGACGTTGTAGACAAATGGCCGGAGTCTGTTTTTTTTATCATAAAACTTGTTCACATAAGTTACTTTTGTTGATGTTCTGAATGTTATTTTATGATGCAAAGTTTCAAATCGATTTCCCGATTGACTAGAAGATGACTTAACTGATGTTTCTAATATTGATTGGTGATGTTGTTTACTTGTTGAGCAAGAGCCTTCGGGATGCCTACACCCATGGCAGATGGGGACCTGGTTCTGTTCGGTTGAAGGAAAGTCGACAGGGCAGGGGGAAGACCAAACAGTACATTCACAATCCCAAATCCCAGCCCATTTTGTTGCCATAATAATGATTAACAGGATGCGTTTAAAAAGTCTGATTGTAAATATTTACTTGTTAAAGATTGGCATTTTAAAATCTGATCTTCCACGTGTACGTGTTATTATATTCACTTTGCAATGTGTTCAATGAAAATTGCAATTAGCGTCACCGACATGGTTCTAGACTGGAGACTGCTGTTCTACATTGTAGTATAGATATATGTATATACAAAGGAAAAAAAATGTATATATAAATAAATAAATATATATATATATATATATATATATATATATATATATATATATATATATATATATATATATATATATATATCATTTTGGCATTTTAAGTTTTAAATGTCAGTATGTGCTACTCATTGTTTCACTACATGTCATATGGTAGCATTATGTGAATGTAGTTGATGTTATGTTGACATGTTGCTATGTGTATTACCGGTGTCACTCATTGACAGGAATATAGCACTAGCTACCTGTGTGTTTTACCTGCTGTTTACCTACATAGCACCTGTTTACCTTGAAATAACTCTTGTCTTTTCTCCCTCCTCAGCTCCGCCATGGACAACTCACCAGATTACCACAGGTTTGTGATTTTTGTCTGTACCTCCCGTGTCAACTTTTTTGTCTATACCTCTATATATGTCTATATATGTAGTCAATACCTTCAGTCTATACCTCTAGTTTATACTTATACCTTCAGTCTTTACCTTCAAACTATACCTGTAGTCTATACCTTCAATTTATACCATCATTCTAAACCTTCTGTCTATATCTGTTTATATATTTTACTCTATACCTTCAGTCTAGATCTGTTGTTATACCTACAGTCTATATCTCCTGTAGTTCTTACAATCAGTCTATGCATTCAATATACCTTCTGTCTATATATGTAGTCTATACCTACAGTCTATATCTCCTGTAGTCTATACCTTCAGTCAATATCTGTATTCCATACAGTCTATACCTTCAGTCTATATCTCCAGTCTATATCTGTAGTCTATACATGAAGTTCACTTCAATCTCCTTCACTGTCGTCCATAAATGGCGTCACGCCATTAGTATGTGTGGCGATTTGGGTTAGTGTATTAATTTTGGTTTATTTTAAGAAGGGACGGGAGTTGTAATCTGCGCTAAAATACATTAATTTCATTTTTGGACGGTCTTTTAACACACCCGATATTGTATTTAAAACCATTAGCAATTTAAAGAAGAAATTTCACGTCATCATTTATGTTCATTTTCTTTTAGGATTTGTAAACAAAACGAAACGCCCTGATAACATTCAAAGAATTATTTTTACAACGTCAGCAAAAATATTATTTGATTAAACTCCTAAAAACCGGATTCTGGAATGAAACAAAATATTGATTTCTTTTGTACTGTAAAAATCTCTTTCGTTGAATCTTTTGTTCGAAATTTAAAACATCGCGTTTACCCGCTTGTAAAATGGATTTTTCTCCTAGTGTTGATTAACCTTCCACATTAAATGTGAGGTTTATTTTTCTCCAATTTTCTGTAATCAAAACCACGCCTTTTCGGTAGCTATAAATCCTTATTTCTTTTACATTATGCTACTGAAGTAACATTAAACCATAACATTTAACGTGAGCCTGTCTTTAGGATTTCAATACGGTTTTAGATCTAGTTAGAGTTAATTATTCATGGAAGAGTATCTAGATTTATAGGTCTATATATTTGTCTACTATAAAGCCTTGAATGATAGTAATAATTTATCATTTTGACGATGATAAATGTAATATTTTGAATAGACGTAACCATTTTTTAAACCCGAGATTAATTTATTTGTCAAACACTGAATATGGTCTTTATAGCCTACTTGCTTCTTTGGCCTACAATTTTAGGGGCGGAGGGCTTATAGCACCTAGGCCTATCCTTGCCAAATACGTCTGTGTCCATTTAGGCCCATCTGATTTGATTTTGTTTTCTGTATTTGTTTTGTTTGCCGCGGCAGTGAGCCCACGCACGAAGAGACGGCCCGCACTCAACTCAGCAGAATTCTGCTAGCCAAAAAAGTGGCGGAGGCCTTCATGTCTCAGTTAGTACCCAGTGGCGGTGTTGTTGGTGTTAGGTGTTCTTTGTGTCATCAAACTGTCGGATGTTGTTATTTCAGATTCACGTATTTTAGGTGGACTAAATTGGAAAAAAAAGTCTATTTTTGTTTGTTTCACTGTCCTACACAGTTCACTTTAAGATTTGTTCTAATGTATCACAAAAACAACAAATATTTCTAATAAATGTGTACACAATTTCTTCTTTTGTCCCTATCTTTTTAGAACGTTATGATTAAATAGATTTAGAATTAGCCTACTACAACTTCTAGAAATCTAGATCTAATCATCAAATTAAAAATAAATTTAATTTGGCTGCCATTTTTTGTGTGAATTCGTCTTCCTGTTTAGCACCTGGCATCTTTGAAATATTGTACGTGTCCTTTTGTTTTTAAATTGATCCAGATCTAGATTCTAGATCTAGAGATCTAAAACAAAATTGGTTGACTATTTTAAATGTAACATTCATTAGATTCGAGTAGGGAAGTATTTCTAATATTACCTTTAGAATCTACATTCTAAATCTAATAGGGGTAGAAAAAACACTACTGTGTATAAATTAGGTCCTATAAATAATACAACCACCTGCTTGGAAGAGTCCACTGTATGTAGGCTTTTTGATGAGAATTACAGAATGATTTTTTTTATTAAAAATGTATCAATAATAGCTAGAACACTAGTAAACTAAGCAAATTTAGCATATTTTAACTTTCTGTGCAAAGTCATTATTACTGAAAAAAATTCCAAAGTCAGGTCAGCCTGTGGCACCCTCCACTGAACGTGACAGAAGGAAAAAAAAACTTCACCCGTGACCTTCATTAAAACAGAATTTGCTTTTTTATTTTTTTTTATTTTTGGTAAACATGTGCTTATTCTTACCCAATAAGTGATAAAAATTTGAAAATTAATTTTAATTACAGTTGTAAAGTAAGATAAACAGCTTAATAAACACATGCTTTCTTGAGGGGGTGTGGCCCGGGTGTGGCACATCGCAATTATAACTTTATATTTCTGTGTTTTATGACTATATTTGTTTACAATCAGCATGCTATGTTTTTAAAATTGATAAAGGGTAAGTATACCAAGTTACAAAATCTGCAATCTAACTAATAATTCATACTTTCAATTTAAAAAATAATAAAAACGATCATCAACGAAGAAAGCGTAAACATTCTATTTTTAGGTGTGACATAAAAAACAGTCATAAATCTAGCCAAATGATTGGATTCTTACGCGGCACACATTTTCCCGCGCCTCGTTTTCACCAAACAAGAATATAATAAAATGGCATTATTACTTACAGCATGAAAAGCATTGTTGTCAGCCTAATTATATTAAACAATTCTATTTTTATTTGATAGTAAAAATGTTATAAAAATTGGGTCTAATAAAAAAGTTATTGGATAACGCACCTGCTTTAGTTTATTCGACTTGAAACGCAAGCTAAGTAAGCGTGACTTTCTCTCGACGGCCTCGTTAAATACAAATAAAGAAATTAGGTCAAAAGTACATCTGGGAATTCTTAAATAACAGACTGAAATAGAAACGGATAGTTCCGATGTCTAAAATTAACGATGGCCTCGTTATTATTAGTTTTATCCCTCTACCGTTTAGTGAAAGCGAAACTGGTCGCCATTTTGAGTAAGCGCATGAGCCGTGAGATGGCTTCAAAACAACAAACCCGGAAGCTGTGAATCGAACGGCCTACTGTATGTTACTATGTTGGGCAATCAATGTAGAATCTAGATCTATACTAGATCTAGATCTATATTGTATTATCATTCTAGTATTATGAAAAAAAATAGTTAAAGAGTAGATCTAGATTTTTAGATCTAGATTAGACTTCTAGATCTAAGCTAGAGTCTAGTAAAATACTTTTTTTTTTACTTAGTGCAATGAACTTTAATGTTAGCAAGCAGTGAATTCCAGAAGTAGGTGGTTATTTTTAATTTTATAAAATATTTAATATTAAATTATATTATTATTAATATTATTTAGTAGAGAGTCTATTTAGTATTTACTCATACTACTTAACTTCTAGATCTAGTAAGTAATAATAATACTTTAATATATTTCTAATAGATAGGGCCTAAAAAATTATAAATTAAGTTAATTTAAGCAGTTTAATTTAAGGATAAATACTGAATTAACTTTATTAACTTAATTAATTATAATAATGAAGGGATATAGATCTAGTTAGAATTATAATGATGGTACTTCAGATAGGTAATTAAACACAGACCAAATTTTTAATACAACATAAAGACAAGATTTTGTTTTCCTTTTTGTTGTGTTAGTTGTTGTAAGAAAACTGGAAACACAAATACACACAAATAGTATGTTGTTGTGAAGTGAATGAGCTTATATAAACAGATTAAATGAAACTAAACTTGAATTCACAGATATATAATTATTTTTTTCTTTTTAAGTCACAATTGTTTTTTATATTTTGTTTAGAAAAAAACACATTGTGCCTCTATTTTTCTGCTGCAGGATAGCAGAACTGCATTCATCTTTTTTCTACCTTTATCACAGTTAGAGTTAGGTTAGCGACACCGGTTTTGATACAACTTTCTTGAAAAGCTGTGAAGTACTAAACATCTTAGCAACATCACTTCTATTTATTTTTTACATTATATAGGCTAAACATTATTTATAATTTGTATATATTTATGGTTTTAATTAACTTTCAATTCAATTTATTTTATTTATAACTTGATTTGAGATTTAAAAAATCTAACAGGGTTATCTTTAAATTCTTTTTTAAAAGTTTGTGTAGATATTTATGTGTGAACAGATCTGAATTTTGAACCATGACTTCTGTTGTTGTGATCATGCACCTTGGTTGTTTTATCAAGTTTGGTTTTGATTTCTTAAAAATACAGAATCCGAAGTTGCCTTTTTTACATCTATTTTGTACTACATGTTGTTTTTATTTTACAGCAGCTTATTGAAGACAAAAGTGACATAAAATTGTTATTTATGTCTTTTAAAATATATCAATCATAAACTTTTTAACAAACCTATTCCATATTTAACTGAAAGAAACTACTTTTGTCATTATGCTATACTAGATTTTGTTATTTAGATTTTAGATCACATGACTGTGTTTTGAAAGATATAATCATTTATTACAAGTGATATAAGGCATGCCTATCCCTTGCAACCTATAATACAGAGGATATTATTCTTCCTTTTTTAGCAAGACTGACAGGAGCAGTGCGGATGATGATGATGACAGCTATGTCAACCCCACCAAGCCAGGGCCACTCACTGACAGCATGGCAAGTCTCACCTGGGATGCACCTCTCAGGTCTGCCAAGGAAAATGCTCTGGCACCTGATGATTACAAGTAAGTTGGACTTTCTTCTTCTGTCTGTATTGACACAATATGTTCATGATAAGCTGTTCTCTGCTCAATTGTTTTACTATCACGAATGGAGTAAAAAGTTGATCAGGATTATTAATTAAAAGTTAGCAATGAAGTTACTGCAATGAATGATTTTGGAATACCAAATGAAGAAACTTGATAAAAAATATGGAACAATCATTTGTCATTGCTTTCAGTGAAAACCTGAGCGGTCGCATCAGCCGTAGCAGCGAGTTCACCATTGAGGCTGATCTTCAGACTGAGAGAGGTGATCTGTTAGGTAATGTCATTAACCTTTTTAGTTTTTTAAATTCTTTTCAAATGAACATTCAGGGACCAAAAACTGTTGGCTTCTGTATTGTCATAAGTTTAAAAAATGAATTAAAGACTAAATGTAGTATTGTACAGCTTCAGATGAAGACAATGTTTGTGTTATGTTTTAGATAATTGTATGCTTGTTCTAGGAGATTATTTATAGCATGGTTTTATTTCGCATGTGAGCATGTTGTTCCTGTGTGTTAGAGCTTCCCTTCCCTCATGATGTAGCAAGCTTAGAACTTTTCATGTAGATTTAGCAGAGTCAGAGACAAATGTTGACTTACACTTTTAACCACAGAGGTCTAAGATCTGCATTTTGTTTTATTCAGTTTTATAAATATCGTAAATTTTAGGTTAGGTTTTTTTTTTAAATGTAAATCTAAAAATAATTGTATCCGTTAAAACATTTAAAAAGCATTAAGTTTGTAATAAAGTGAATTTTTTATTCATAAAAGAAGGGTGTGTAGGTCTCATAAAACAGTTTATGTTTGTTAGCCTTTTTGTATGGCTATCAAATGATATTTTCTTCTGTAGTGTTATGTTAACAGCTAGTTTTGGGGTCGAACTATTGTCAATGAGTAAGTTAACTGTATTTAAATAATACAATTATCTAGATATAGTTAATGAATAAGTAAACGGTTATTATCGTTGTTAGCTCTAAAAAGAAGTGAATAATTAAAAACTATAAGCAACTTTAGTGGTTGGGAAAACAATTTATTCTGTTCTTGGATCCACCCTTTTTCAGGCCACACCCCTACAGAATAAACTGGTGCACCAGCCAGCCACTGACTGTTTCTTGCCTTCAGAGAGCAAGAGCTACACAGATATTTTTTTTTTGTTTACTTGCACCTACAAAAACTACTGTCTCACTCAGATATTATCAGATTTATTGTAGCGTAGCCAAAATAACAGCTCAAAGATTTTTTTTTAAATAAATAATTTTATAGACAATACTTTTTTTTGTTTTTATTTAAGTTAGGTGTTGCAGATCTTATTTGTGCTTCAATGCTTTGTTTGTTAAGTCATCATTGTGGCTTGTTATTTTAGTTTCTGCAAAAAAATTTGACTATAGTTGTAGAAGTAGAAACAAAAAACATCTTCCAATTTCTTTTTAACACTAGTCTTTTTAAAGATTAGATTTTAGCTGTTTATCAAAATCTCTATCACCTTTTTCCTACACTCTTCTCAAAGTCTGACTTAACACTTGAACTGTTCACTTGATATAGTTTAACATTCAAGTAGTTTTCACATTTCTGACAAGAGTTAGCACTTGTTTCCTATGGCTTCATGTTTGTCTTCCCATGCTAGGTTGTGTGTGTTTTTCTATAAGCATTGTAGATTGAATGGGTGGATTTAGTTTTTCTATAAGCATTTTAAATTTTATTGGTGGATTTTTTTTTCCATAAGTTGATTTTATGGGGTGAATTTTTGCTGCTGAGTTTTTTGTTTCATCTTTAACCCTTGGTATTTGGTACCTGAAGATGTCGTGGCACTAAATGTTTATGTGGCTGAAAATCTTAAACTGGTGGGATAAATAGTAAGGTGTGGAAGATACAACAGGTGTTCAAACACACAATACAGCACTGTTAAAAGTTTTTAAATAGGTGTTGGAAATTGAGCAAACTTTCAGGCAGCAAAACTTATTCAGCCAGTAGTAACACAAGTGAAAATATATTGTAAACAAACTCAAGACAAATCTAATGTTATCATCAAGTTTATAATAGATCAGTCAATCTTCAAAAAGCCGAGCCCAACATGATGTTTGAACTAGTTCCCCCATAAATCGCAGAATAAATAATTGGGATATGATTCCAGACAACACATAATTCCTTCTGTTAATGAATGTAAAAAACTTGTGAAACCTGCCCCCACACAAACCCTGTTGATGTGGCTAAACAAACTACCAAACCATAGACAATTTAGTCAAAGGATAGAAGAGTTCATCAAGTAAAGTTTACTCCCCAACAGGTGTAGATGATGTAACCTCAAACCCAATGTCTGTGTATTAAACATTGTTTCAGAATTACTCCCCCTAGTCTTATTTGTAATCTTGTTGTCATACTTTTAATGGTCTAAGACAGGGGTCTCCAAACTTTTCAGCCCGAGGGCCGCATTGACTATCAAAGTTCAGTTCGGGGGCCAGTTTCTTCCAGACATGTCTTTGATTTTTCTGGGAAAAGTTCCTCAGCTATCACCAACAAATGTTTTTTGCGTGGACAAAAAGATCTCCGCGGGCCGGATGAGAGGACCTCGCGGGCCGCATCCGGCCCGCGGGCCGTAGTTTGGAGACCCCTGGTCTAAGATAAAAGCTTTGAACTAACTGAGGTATTTCTTCAGTACTAATTCTAGTCACTAGATAAAACTCACTAAATTACTAACACTGTAGAGATGATCTAGAGTAGTATTATCAGGGGCAAGCACTCTGTGAAATAGCACAACATTCCAGCTTTGTGAATACAGGGGACTGTTCTCACTGTTTGTGAGTGAAACAGTCACATACATCTAGTATGTGTGGTATCATTTTTAACATTATTACATGACAGAAGAGAGATATCTTAATTAGTAATAAATAACAATTTAGTATTTGCACTTTCAAAGGACAAACTCACTTAATAATGGGGAAAAATTCTTAACTTAAAAATATATGCTCAGAATATAATAAAGCTGTGCTAGTAAAATGTGAATAACTTATACTATAGATAACTGATCTTAGCAGCAATCACAACATGCGGAAAATCTTAGGATAACTTGCATAAAATAATGATAAAAAGATATTTTACAAAGTAACATTTATATAAGCACAAAGCAATTTGTATCTAGAACATTGTAAATAAAATGGTCATTTAATATGATAAATCATTAGATAATTCACATACAGACATTGATATTGAAACTAATAAATTACTGTGATACAAAAAGAATCTAAGCTTCTTTACAATAATTATAATCCATAAAACGTTCACATCTCTGTTACAGAAGAAGAAAGTGCGGTGGAGATGGCCAAAAGACTGGAGAACGAACTAGCTGGCAGTATCCTGGCTTTGTGGCAGCAGCGCCTGACCCAGTCGTCATCTTTTGATGAGGACATTGAGATAGAATACGCCTCCGAGTCTGAGAGGGACAGCACAGACCCCCCCTCCCCTGCTGGGGATGATCCGTCTGTTGTCGCTCTCTCTAAACAGACTTCTCCAAGTCGTTCCTTGGTTGACAGGAATGGCAACAGGTATTTGTTTCTTTGTTGTTGTTTTTTAGAAATCAATTTTTTTCAACTAAAGAAAATCATAATAGCTTCAAACCAACCTACACAGTTTTAATGTCATCTATGACTTCTGATTTGAAATGACAAGTCATCTAAAACCTCTGATTGGTTACGACACTTTCTATAACCTCTGTTTGTAATGACATCATCCATAAGCTCTTCTTTTCTGTGTTTTATGGCTTCTGTTTCATTGTGACGATTATCATAGCAACTGCTTAGAAATTACATTTAATATTTTTCTGAATATTTTTATTTTGTTATTCTTATAATGAAATTGCTAGAGCACAACCGAGCACAAATTGTTAAAAGAACATAAAAAAGTTAATATTTAAATGTAAAAGACTCCCCAAAGGCCATGTCTGTTTGCTGTAAAGTTTTGTTGAAACCTCACAGACCATCCAGCGCTTCCCCCATCAAACTGCCCATCAGCAGCGGTGAGGCAGGCACCAGCCCAGCACTTGAGGAGATCAGATCGAGGCTGAGGAAGACACAGTTTGACTACACGGCCGACACGCGCGTCAGGATCTGTGATGCCACGCCACAGCTGGACTACCGGAGTGTTCTCAAGAAGAAAGGCAATGCCTAACCTGACGTAAGGCCTGACTTGATGCAAGGCCTAGCACAACCCAATGTTTAACTTGAACCAAAGCCTAACAGTCCCATGTTAACTGTATTTCTTGGCCATCATAGATGTATGTTAGAATGTGCATACATAGTATCCGTATGAATTAATCGGCCACTTAGCGGGTAATGTGAAAGTTATTTAACATTCAAAACTTGTTGATTGTTATTCTTTATTTGATCTGATTTGGTTGATCTTGTTTTTCCATGTAAAGCTTAACAACCTATCATTGCTTATATTGGATCATTTAACTTAATCTCAAATATAAAAATTTCATTAATCCAATAAATATAAACATAACATATAACTATATGTTAAATTTTTTTACTAAAGATTAACCCTTTAATTAATCATATCTATCAAATTACTAACACTATTCATGAAAAAATTGTATCATAATCCTACAAATAATTTTTTTAAGTTTGTGGATGAACACATAAAACCTTGTAGGTTTCAAACCTAATCCTTTCAAACACCAGGGCAGGAAATTAAATCAGTTTGTCAAAATACTTTCAGTTTAATCATCAAAGTCGAACAACCTGTGTTCAAAAATTGTCAAAACCAACACCAAAGATTGTTTCACTAGAACTTGGCAGGCAGTGGGTGTAAAATAAACTGGGTTTGATTGATTTTGTCCATTGCTACATTGCTCATTATACTGTGATGATGAATATTGTATACAATTTTATATTTGACGTCAAATTGTTCAAAGATATTCACTATACACATCTGTAATTCATCATATATCAATGTTTAATATAATGTATTATTTTTAATTGACTAATTCTTGGAACAAACATTCCTTAACTTCCACTTATTATATATTTTTAAGCCACAAGAACAATGATCAAATAATTTATCATGGAATATTGTACTTTGAATATTTTGTGTCTAGAGTTCTTTCAGTTTTTTTTTGGCATTTAAAAAATAAAAAAAATGCCCATTGTGATTTTATTTGATATTTTATCATTTTTTTTTGTTGGCTGTGTGTTTTAAGTTTTGTTTACAAATATTTTTAAAAACATTATTCCGTTATGTTTGTTATTTTGTAATGCATTGGTTTGATGGAACTCTAAATCTTGAGTTTTTGAACCTTGCTTAGTTTTATAAAGGATAAGCAATTGAGAACACTGTTGTTGAATTTAAAAATAAACATTCCATCCATCCATAATTCACCATTGCTATCCCTATCTCATACCATCATCTACCATTTATTTAATTATTCAGCTTGATTCTCTAACCACCATCTCATACAATTATATAATCATACATGTTAAACTTACAATTGTTTTTATGTTAAATGTAACAAAAACAAGGTTAAAGCCACAAAAAGCATAATTAATCACTCTTTTTCTTGCATTTTGTTTATGTTATCTGTGTATGTTGATCATGTATGCAATCATTCATACATGAACTTATAATTCCATATCCCACTTCCAACATTAAAATATTTGTATGAGCCCATGACTAAAAAAAATGATATATTCCTTATAACCAAAGTTCCAATTGCTTTTTATAACTGTAGCTAGTTCTATATTGTTTGTGTTCAGCTAGAGTTGGTGACATGACTGTGTTCATAGCTGTCTTCATCTATTTGTTTCATATGTCGCACATGACTTAACTATATTTTTTTTCTAGCCAGTGACCATTGATTTTTTTAAAGTGGTTGATTACTCTAATAGATATTGTGTAGGTATCATCACTGGCATTGTTATCCCATCAACATTAATATAGGTTGTAATATTCTAGTTATGAGACACATATGTAACTTTAACATTTAAAAATATGTAACATTGTACCCAAAATGTAACTGTTACGTTAAAAAAGCAAGTAACACTAATAAAAATTGTTTTAAGTCCGAGTGTTTCCAAGACCCACAATAACCAAAAGCAATTTTGTTTCTGTAGAAATGTTTCATTGCTTCATGCCAATGTACAATAATGGTAACCTCAGTCAAAGTCTTGTGTTCATAATTTGTTGAATTTGAAATTTTGTTGCACGTTTGTTGTAATATCATTGTTGTATCTAGTTGTGCAGTACCACACCTAGCAGCCCCCACCCCCCTCACACATGATGGCATTGTGCCACACCCTCCAACCCCCACCCCAACAGAATGACGCCATTAGTTTTCCAATGTTAGTTTACAATGCCAGCAATAGATCCAGAGCCCCTTCTGCAATGTCTTCCCATCAGCTGCTTTCATGGTTCCACGTCTCAGTAGACACTTTTGTTTGATTAGCACTTTAGACATGGTTAATTAGTTGAACCTGTTAGTTCATTTAATTAATTAATCTAAATTAAATGAATATGTGAATTAACTGGAGCAGCTTCTTTCATGGTTACGTATCTCAAGTAAACAATTTTTTTTTTAATTAGCACTTTAGATTTGGTTAAGTAGTTGAACCTGTTAGTTCATTAAATTAATTAATCTAAATTAAATATGTGAATTAACTGGAGCAGCTTCTTTCATGGTTACGTATCTCAAGTAAACACTTTTTTAATTAGCACTTAAGATTTGGTTAATTAGTTGAACCTGTTAGTTCATTAAATTAATTAATCTAAATCAAATGAATATGTGAATTGACTGTAGCAGCAATGTAAACAGAAACAGTAGCGTCACGAGGCAGGGTAGGGGAATGTGGTCCGCTGAGGGTGGAACAATAATAGTACCTCAATCATCCAAACATTGGTTTGTGCCAGTTAAGGTTATATAGGGTGGGGGTGACATCAAATGAGTTAGTGGAGTGACACCCAACCTAGTGACGTTACTGATTTGTAATTCAGTCTTCAAAGCTGAGTGATCCCCCATCAGCAGGTAAATGAAACATTGATTTCTTTTTTAGATATTAAAGTGTATGCAGTATTTTAGATATATGTACAAACTAAGTTGTAGACCACATGTAGTGTATGTTAAATAAATATCACGAGGTAATAAAAATGTATTTATTTGATAATAAAAAAACCTCAGTATATTAAAAACAACAAATTTACTTGACATGTTTTTAAAAGCATCGATTATTAATATAACTATAACCACATTTCTTAGTGTGTAGGTTTTGTAGGTGTACGCTAAGATATTGAATCTTCTGATGTCCCTTTATTGTTATGTCCCTTTATCTAAGCATGTTGGTCCAAGTTTATAGTAGAAGGATGGTGGGAGGTTTTTGCTTGTTACTATGATAATCCTGGTTTAGCCTATAGAGACAGAACTTCGGTGAGAGGGTTTAGAAGCTTGTTGGCTACACTTTATTAAAGGACTTGTGTAAAGAGTGGAGTAGTTTAGTGCTATTGTGATTTGCATGTGTAGTTCTGTTATATTTAGGGGAGCAGGGCTGGCCCATGTGACCCCCACAGTACTAGAACTACAGGGTCGGCCCATGTGACCCCCACAGTACTACAGGGTCGGCCCATGTGACCCCCACAGTACTACAGGGTCGGCCCATGACCCACACAGTACTAGTACTATAGGGCTGGCCCATGTGACCCACACAGTACTACAGGGTCGGCGCATATGACCCCCACAGTACCAGTACTACATAGCCGGCCCATGTGACTCCCCACAGTACAAGTACTACAGGCTGACCCATTACGCACACAGTACTAGTACTACAGGGTCGGCCCATGTGACCCCCACAGTACAAGTACTATAGGGTCGGCCCATGTGACCCCCACAACACTATAGGCTATAACTTTAGTGCTAACCATAGCAATGTAATCAATGGATCGATGTTCAAACTAAAATCAACTAATTTTGTACGATTCTTCAGAAATAAAACAATACTTTTTCTATCTCCCTTTGTTTTGTTTTTCCTTGTGAGTTATGTGTGTGGACCTTCTGTAAAACCATAAAGAACAATGTGGTTGTCCATTATTGTCTATTTTTGCTCATCAATAAATTCTAATTCCCCAGCGCAAAAATCATGATGACACAGCTATTTTTTGACAGCCTCAAATGTATTCGCAATTCGTATAGTTCGTATGTTTTACTCCACTATTTGTAAGATTAAAACATATTATTGTCCAGTACAAATCGAATAAAGCCTTTTCATAGCATTCACACTTAAAAGTTCCAGTAAACTAACGATCAAATTCAAAATTGAAATATAATATTTTTCTGAGGTTTGGGTATCTTAAAATTCGGGTGAAAGAATTAATCATTATATCCATTCTACATTCAGGCTATGTTGGTAGAACTGACAGAGTAAAAACAAACAAACGCCGTTTAATTAAGCCAAATTATTTTTTTTTAATTCATTAATTGAAATGATTTTTCAGTTCCCTTAGGACGATATGAATTCAGGCTTTGAGCAGAATGTACTGCAAGATGAACTGAGCCACCATACAACCCAACATCATGAGGTAATCAAACGTGTCGCCCTCCCACTTCCCCCGTACGGGTTCTATCTCAGGAGCCATGGTGGCCACGGATACAGGCTTGCGGGCGTTACGTAACGCTATAGCGGCCTGCCTGGCATTGAGCTCCTGGACGTCCGCTGTGATGTGGACGACCCGCTGGACGATCTTCTGCTGGGAGCGGTACAGTCTGGCCAGGACTTCGTTCATCGCCTGCTCGATGACCTCGACATTCTGGTCCGGACTGAACTCCCCGCTGTTGATGACCTGTTCCTTCGCCGAGTTCGTTTTCAGCGTGAAGGTCCGGTTCCCCTCTGGCGGCTGGTCCGCGGAGGCTGGTTTGGGCGGGGAGGCGGAGGCGGAAGTACGCATTGGTCTGGGAATCCGGCAGGCTCGCTTCCGTCTGTCCCCCGTAGGTTGCCGTCTTGAAGCCTGGTCGTCCTTCTCGTTGAAGTCCCTGCTGGTCTGGCTCCGCTGGTACCCGGGGAGTCCCGCCTGTTTCCCTGTCTTGTTTTTAGCAGACGTGTGATCGGACGAGTGAACGAGCACGTTGGACTCGCTCATGTTCCACGTGACCTTAGGCGGCTCAAGGCATTTCTTGGACATCTTGTACTCGCCTTGGCTCGACGCTGATGATTCGAAGCATTCCGTGCTACTGTCTGCATCGGAAGAACAATCCGATTCCGATATAGACGATCCGATGCTGTACTCGTAATCGGTATCGTCGTACGATGTGCTTGAGGTATTGAATTCGTCCGAGCTGGGGCATCGAATACGTTTCTTTACAGTCGATTTCCTTTTCGAAGCACGGTGTGAGATATCTTTCTTTTTGTGAGACTTAGAGTCGTGGCAGCAGCAGTGGTAGCGGTTGCACGGTTTACCGCCGTGGATGCCGTGAGTACCGTGTCTGCCGCGGTGTGAGCGCTTGTGGCGGCTGTGGTGGACCACGTGCTTGGGTCGACCACCAAGATGGCGGTGTTTTGTCTCGCGTTTCCTCCGCCTCTCGGTCGAGTCAACGAGACAGTATGCCTTGTGGTGCGGGCGGGGCCGGTGCTTCCCTTCGCGCCGGTGGGAGTGATGGCGTCTGACCTTCACCTTCGATTCCCGCCTTCTGTCCACGACCGCGCGTGATTTCGCAGGTGAGCACTTCTTCGCGTCCTTGATATCAATCAAGGAATCCACCAGGTCCACGTTTCGGTCTGCTTTGCTTTGTTTATGCGTATGTTTCCTAGCAACGAAAACATGGTGCTTGAGGTCGCATTTGAGAACATCCGCGCTATGGACATCTTCTTGTTGAGCTCTGTGTAGCTCGTGAGAGGAAACCTCCGTCAGAGAATCCGAGCAGGATTTCGACCAGATATTTAACGGAACGTACTGCAGCTTTTCGCTGGCCTCGTCGGTCGCGGATAAAGATAAGTCATGCGGGACCAGCTTCACAGGAACACAGCCGATATCGGCGAACTCTGGCTTGGGCGAATCTTTGGGAGTTTTGCTGGGGGTGGAGGCGCGTTTGTCGGTGCGGTACCGGCTGGGTTTGTCTGTGTCGGTCGACAACCAGGGCATCAGCTGTTTCTTGTCGAGTTCCGGCGAAGGTTTAGGCGAGGATTTGAGGCTCGTCTGCGGTGAAGGTTCCTCCGTTTTGCGATACTGCCGGAAGGAGAAGGACGGAGGGGATTGCTGACTGGACTTCTTCGCAGACTTGTAGCACGTGGCGTCTGTTTGTACCGGAGATCTGCTGACGGGCGAGTTCGTTCTGGTTGTTTGCCGGGAAAAAATCTTCTGGTACGGTCTCTGTGAGGTAGATCTGGGTAGAGATGGACTTCGTGAAGGTACTTGCTGGAATTTTTTAGTTCCCTTAGAAAATAAATTCTGCTCATTAAGCGGGTGAGTGTTTGTTTTAGTGGCATTAGCCGGCTTTGCAGCATATTTGGTAGGAGATGTCGCCTTTTTCTGTGGCTTAGGAGTCGGTGGCGGCTCCGGTTCTTTGAGCGCCCGTACTATGCTGCGAATCTGCGTGTTCAATTTGGGCGAGCCTTCCTTCCTGGGCTTGGAGCTGGGCGATTGTTTGACTTCTTTAGAAGCAGGCTGTGCTTGAGGTTTGGGCTGGCTCTTCGCCAGAAATTTCCCGCTCTGCAATAACTTGTTGAGCTCCAACGTTTTTTGTACTGTGTTCGGAGACGTCTGCTTGTTGCCAGGAATCTTCATGACTGTATTTCCGTACGGGGTTTTCTGTAATTTGCTGGCCTGCTCGGGGGTTCCCTTTTTGCTCGAGTGTGTCTCCGGCGATCTCGCCCACCTGGACCTCCCCGCGTTTTTATCGTCTGGGTTGGAGTGTGCATCAAACGCCAGTTTACGCTGCGCCGTAAACCTCGCTCCAAAAAATTTGTGATCACGTTTGTTGTCATCCACGCCTCGTTGTGGGCTAAGTTTAGATTTCTGTAGCTGGGATCCAGCCCCGCTTGTTCTGGGGGCGGGATCTGTTTGTGGGTGTTCTTTAGTCTCACCGGCACCCTCCTTGACATCATCAGCCCGGCTCCACTTCTCATTATGCGCAGGTTCAGGCTTGTGTACACCTGTGTTTGCATTCCTAGCCGCGGATTTCATTTGCTGAGCCGCTTCAGATCCGGATAGAAAAGAAACTTTGGGTTTTTTCGTCTCGCTTGACTGGTGAGCTCCATATTCTTCTAAATTTCGCAGGGACCCCGCTCTGCTTGTAGCCTGGGGCGTGGCATTCTCTGACCTGAAAGAGCTTAAGCTCAGCCGACGTTTTGCAGCTTGAACCTGCTGTTCCTCATGACCTACATAATCCTCACTGGACGTCACGTACAGATTGCTCGGCGGTTTTTCACTATTTTCTGACATTTTTAACATTTTTAAAATCGAGAGAGAATTTTCATTGGACGAAGTGGGCTGTTTCCCTTTCAAGCCTCGATTTAGATTACCGTAAGTTGTCCTGCTTTGACCTGCGGTGACCGGATGTTTTGGTGGGGATCGCAGGGGGATCAGGCTCTTGAGATTCTGCTCTGGTTCCTTGGTCACGTGCTTGGGTCTACTCTCCGTGGGGGGTTCGGCTGTTTGCTCCACCATGACGTCTTGCTGTTGGTTAAGGTGAAGCAGCTGTTTAAGAAAACCATTCCAAAGGTTAATTTTTTAATGGTGTTACCTAAACTTATATATCTTAAAGTATCAATCAATTTTTTTTTCTAAAACGTGAACCTGTAGAGCAAAGGTCAGCCATTGTTAATGTAATGTTCAGATGGTGCTAAGGTAGTGTTCAGATTGTGTTTAGAAAGCGTTACGGCAGTATTATTGCAATGTTCAGACTGTGTTTAGACAATGTTAATCAATTTCCCGAACAAGGACATTTGGCGAAGGACAGGATTAAACGACATTGTTTCAGGAGTTCGAATGAGGAGATGGAGATGGCTGGGCCATGTCCTACGCATGAGCAAAAGAAGACTCCCCAACATGGCGCTGAAGTGGACTCCGCCTGGAAAGCGAAAGAGAGGAAGACCACTGGGAACATGGAGGAGAGAGATGGAAGAAGAAGTGCAGGCTACTGGCAAGACCTGGCATGAACTAAAGTGGCTCGCCCAAGATAGAGTGGAATGGCGGAGATTTGTCGCAGCTCTATACTCCACAGGGAGTATAAGAAATAAGAAGAAGGCAATGCTTAGACTGTACTAAGGCAGTGTTCAGACAGTAAGTATTAAGGCAATGTTCAACTGTGTTAAGGCAGAGTTAAGTGCTCAGATAGTGTTCATACAGTGTTCAGACTGCGTGATGTTGTCTCATGTTTGACTCACCTGTGTGTACCCTCCGAGTTCCATGTTTGACTCACCTGTGTATACCCTCCATGTTTGACTCACCTGTGTGTACCCTCCGAGTTCCATGTTTGACTCACCTGTGTGTACCCTACATGTTTGACTCACCTGTGTGTACCCTACATGTTTGACTCACCTGTGTGTACCCTCCGTGTTTGACTCACCTGTGTGTACCCTCCGTGTTCCATGTTTGACTCACGTGTGTGTACCCTCCATGTTTGACTCACCTGTGTGTACCCTCCGTGTTTGACTCACCTGTGTGTACCCTCCATGTTCCATGTTTGACTCACCTGTGTGTACCCTTCATGTTTGACTCACCTGTGTGTACCCTCCGAGTTCCATGTTTGACTCACCTGTGTGTACCCTCCGAGCTCCATGTTTGACTCACCTGTGTGTACCCTCCATGTTTGTCTCACCTGTGTGTACCCTCCATGTTCCATGTTTGACTCACCTATGTGTACCCTCCATGTTTGACTCACCTGTGTGTACCCTCCATGTTTGACTCACCTGTGTGTAACCTCCGTGTTTGACTCACCTGTGTGTACCCTCCGTGTTTGACTCACCTGTGTGTACCCTCCATGTTTGACTCACCTGTGTGTACCCTCCATGTTTGACTCACCTGTGTGTACCCTCCATGTTTGACTCACCTGTGTGTACCCTCCATGTTTGACTCACCTGTGTGTACCCTCCATGTTTGACTCACCTGTGTGTACCCTCCATGTTTGACTCACCTGTGTGTACCCTCCATGTTTGACTCACCTGTGTGTACCCTCCATGTTTGACTCACCTGTGTGTACCCTCAATGTTTGACTCACCTGTGTGTACCCTCCATGTTTGACTCACCTGTGTGTACCCTCCATGTTTGACTCACCTGTGTGTACCCTCCATGTTTGACTCACCTGTGTGTACCCTCCATGTTTGACTCACCTGTGTGTACCCTCCATGTTTGACTCACCTGTGTGTACCCTCCATGTTTGACTCACATGTGTGTACCCTCCATGTTTGACTCACCTGTGTGTACCCTCCATGTTTGACTCACCAGTGTGTACCCTCCATGTTTGACTCACCTGTGTGTACCCTCCATGTTTGACTCACCTGTGTGTACCCTCCATGTTTGACTCACCAGTGTGTACCCTCCATGTTTGACTCACCTGTGTGTACCCTCCATGTTTGACTCACCTGTGTGTACCCTCCATGTTTGACTCACCTGTGTGTACCCTCCATGTTTGACTCACCTGTGTGTACCCTCCATGTTTGACTCACCTGTGTGTACCCTCCATGTTTGACTCACCTGTGTGTACCCTCCATGTTTGACTCACCTGTGTGTACCCTCCATGTTTGACTCACCTGTGTGTACCCTCCGAGTTCCATGAACTCCTCACTCTCAGCCTGTTCTCTCGCACGTGCCAACTGCAGTTCAAGGTCATCTGTGTCCTTGACCCTAGAGTCGCGCTCGTTCTGTCTCTGTGGACGAGAGTACGAGGTCATGTGACGAGTGTATAAGATCACGTGACTTACAGCGTACGAGGTCATGTGACTTACACTGTACGACATTATGTGACTTGTAGTGTATGCGGTCATCTAACTTACACTTACAGTTAAGAAGACCATGTACTAGCTCATGTGATACACAAGTACCAAGAAAACATTTGATAGAGTTGAGTGATCATTTTAACCGCTCAATAAATACATGTTTTTTCTATTACTTTTACCGTGTAATCGATGTTGTTTTATCGATAAAATACTAACTACGCTTGCTCAAGATTAAGTATATTGATTAATTTAGACTAGAATTTACACGCACAAAAACCTGACCTTTTACCCCCCCCCCCCCCCCTCCTCCATGTAACCCCCCTAATGTCAGCCATTCCATCACGTGACCTATCAGGATGTACTCCTGCTTCAGTTGCGACATGTACAGGACCAGGTTCGTGTCTGACCCCCACGTGACCCCCTGAGGTCAGCCCCACATCACGTGACCCCCTGAGGTCAGCCCCCCACCCACGTGACCCCTGAGGTCAGCCCCCCACCCACGTGACCCCTGAGGTCAGCCCTCCCCCACGTGGCCCCCAGAGGTCAGCCCTCCCCCACATGACCCCCTGAGGTCAGCCCCACATCACGTGACCCCCAGAGGTCAGCCCTCCCCCACATGACCCCCTGAGGTCAGCCCCACATCACGTGACCCCCAGAGGTCAGCCCTCCCCCACGTGACCCCCTGAGGTCAGCCCTCCCCCACGTGGCCCCCAGAGGTCAGCCCTCCCCCACATGACCCCCTGAGGTCAGCCCCACATCACGTGACCCCCTGAGGTCAGCCCTCCCCCCTCACAACACGTGACCTACCAGCATGTATTCCTGCTTCAGGTGCGACATGTACTGGACCAGGTACATGTCTGCCCCCCCTACGTGACCCCCTGATGTCAGCCCTCCCCCACGTGACTTCCTGAGGTCAGCCCCACATCACGTGACCCCCTGAGGTCGGCCCTCATTACGTGACCCCCTGAGGTCAGCCCCCCCCCCCTCACAACACGTGACCTACCAGCATGTATTCCTGCTTCAGCTGCGACATGTACTGCACCAGGTTCATGTCTGGCTTCTTCCAGCGCTGGTCATCCGCCTTCTCCTGCCGCTTCCTCTGGGTGAAGGACGGCGCCCTGGCCACCTTTTTGGTCCCCTCCGCCCCGGGGGTGGCGGGCGCTTCCTGCTGGGCACGTCTCGGGGCCGGGGGAGGGATGGGAGCGGGAGCTGGCGGAGCAAGAACCGCGGGATGTTTCGGGCGAGTTTCACTGTTCTGTGAGGATTTCATGCTGCTCATGGTAGGTCTGTTGGGTGGTAGTCGAGATTCTTTACTGTTGGTCGTTGGTCAGTTGGACGGTAGTCGAGATTCTTTACTGCTGGTAGTTGGTCAGTTGGACGGTAGTCGAGATTCTTTACTGCTGGCAGTTGGTCAGTTGGACGGTATTTGAAGATTCTTCACTACGGGTAGTAGTAGATTAGTTGGAGGGTAGTCAAGATTCTTTACTGCTAGACTAACAGTTGGACGGTTGTCAATGTTGTTTTACTGCTGATAAGGACAAAGTTTGAAGGGTATTACAATGAACACGGTTTGTTTTTAGAAATAATAGAAATATGTTACGTTTTGGGTTAGGATTGTGAGTTTTGGGATTGGGGTACTGTTATTTTGTCAGTTCTTATGTTACTTGCTTTTCTCTTTGTTTTCCACAGCTATATTAACAAACTCGTATTACTGTGTTAGCCGTTAACGGTAATTCATGCCCATAATTAAAATTGGGATTAACCCAAGCCTAAACCTATACCATAGCCATAACATTTGTCAGTCTGGTAGCTTTTTTGGCAAGTTTTAATTTGTTAGATTTTCGTTTTACATTTAGATCTAGTCCCTCACTCACAGAGGACATACACTAGATAAATAAACCGGGAATGATCTCCCCTAAACTTTCTCGAATATTCTTATATAAAACAACAGGGGATGGGAACTCTGGATATAGACATGTTGTTTAATCCATTTTAAATACTTAAACTTTTTAAAATAAAATCTCGTAGAAAATAGAATTGCACACCAAGCGAGCGCCAAACAAAATGTGCATAATAGTGCGGAATATTATTAGTACTTTATAAATTCACATGCGTTTTTTTTAGAAATTGGAAATAGCGTAAATTACTACTTCCGGTCAACGGAAATTACTCAAAATTTGACAGAAGGCAGAGAATTAGATCTCTTACTTACATGTGAAATTTCATTTATCTATCTGAAATAATATTCAAGTTATAGGATTTTGAAAAATTGAAAGTAGAAAAAGTTCCACCTCCGGTTATCGGAAATCGCTCAAAAGTTGATACGGATCTACGATTTTGCTAAAATACTTATATATGAAATTTCATGAACCTAGCTGTAACGGTACTCAAGTTATCGTGTTTACAGACATACACACACACACACACACACAGACATACGGACAAGACTGCAAAACTATGTTTTTCCGACTCATGGAGCTGTAAAACGTCGATTTTTTTGCACGATTACAAGAATTTCTCTATACTTACTTCAATAAAAAATTTCAATAAATCTAGTTCGGTATAGCTGTTGGCGACCCAGCAAGCATGCAAGATTGGGGCAGGGTTAGTGTGATTATTGGGGCTAAAAACAAATCACAATTAGTGAAATCTTTTTTTTTTAATCTCAAGCTTAATCTTACTAAATCTAGCTCACAGGGATAGATCTAGATCTAGAATCTAGATTAGTTAAACTATTACTAGAGTCTAGAAATCTAGTAGTCTTGTAGTAAATCAAAATCTAAATAAGTTTACACTGACACAGAAATCTAGATCTATATTTGATCTGATGAAATAAAAATATATAGATCTATATCTAGAATCTAGATATCTAGATCTATCCAACAATTATAGACTCTAATAATTATAGTTAGTTTTTTTTTTCAATTGTTACATACGTTTCGTCTACTTACAATGTAAAATATCATTTTTTATCAATTAAGTCTTATTAAAACATTTAAAACCAGAAAATTCAATTTCAGTAATCAAAAACTTGAAACTGAATCACTTTGTCTTGTAAACTTACACAATCAAGGCTAGAGGAAACACACAAAAATATTGTCTTGGAATGACGTCATCAATTGTGCGGGAAGTTCAGTTTAGTGATTTTAGTTCAGTTTTGAACATTTTTTAACGAAAGAAACTCTGATTTCAGCAGAAATAGAGATGAACAGTGGCGTAGGCAAGGGGGAGTTAGGGGGGGGGGGGGGTAACCCCTCCCATGGACCCCTCTATATATATATATATGATTGTATACATATGGAAAAATGTTTGAACCCCTCCCATGACCAATTCCTGGCTACGCCACTGGAGAAGAAAGATCTTTTTAACCTTTGGTTAGTTCAAAATTAAGGTTATTCTAAGCTCTACCAACCCATTCTCTTCCATGTAGGGAGTGGGTTGGGGACAGAGTTTTTTCCAGGCATCTCTTCCGGGTGTGGGAGGGGATGTATATGTCTAAAGAATAATATTTATGTTTCCGCTTTTATATTTTAGAATGCATCTCAAAATCGTGTAATTGATAGTAAGATGTACGTGAAGAACTTTAAATTAAATATCATTGAATTTTTGGTAACAAATCGCAACCTAAAATATTGAAATATTTCTTGGGAAAAGAAATTCTAAATATATTTTTATCAGACCTGTATTTGCACCCCTATTAGATTCAGCAACAAAACCTTGTGAAAGATAATTGTATTTTTAAAAGATTAAAACGTCAGACTAAAGGAAAAAGTCTAATAAAATAATTCACCAAAACTCATCTTCCTTGTGTGCTGCATTTTGCGTTATAATATTAAAGGGAAAGAACCAAGTAAATGCCAAACCTGCTACAAAATAATACATGAGTAGCTTCCCTTGAAATTCAAAGCGGACTAAAATTATTCGTATAGCTTCCATTGAAAAATCATTATTTTAATAAGTAGCACTATGGAGCATGCAGCATTAGGGAGTGTTGTGTGTAGGTCACACAGGTGTGTGTGTGTGTGTGTGGGTCATACAGGAGTGGATGTGTGGGTCATACAGGAGTGGGTGTGTGTGGGTCATACAGGTGTGGATGCGTGTGTGTGGGTCATACAGGAGTGGATGTGTGGGTCATACAGGTGTGGATGTGTGTGTGTGGGTCATACAGGAGTGGGTGTGTGGGTCATACAGGAGTGTGTGTGTGTGGGTCATACAGGAGTGGTTGTGTGTGGGTCATACAGGAGTGGGTGTGTGTGGGTCATACAGGAGTGGATGTGTGTGTGTGGGTCATACAGGAGTGGGTGTGTGTGTGTGGGTCATACAGGAGTGGGTGTGTGTGGGTCATACAGGAGTGGATGTGTGGGTCATACAGGTGTGGATGTGTGGGTCATACAGGTGTGGATGTGTGTGGGTCATACAGGAGTGTGTGTGTGTGGGTCATACAGGAGTGGGTGTGTGTGGGTCATACAGTAGTGGGTGTGTGTGGGTCATACAGGAGTGGATGTGTGTGGGTCATACAGGAGTGGATGTGTGTGGGTCATACAGGAGTGGGTGTGTGTGGGTCATACAGGAGTGTGTGTGTGTGGGTCATACAGTAGTGTGTGTGTGTGTGGGTCATACAGTAGTCGATGTGTGTGGGTCATACAGGAGTGGATGTGTGTGGGTCATACATGTGTAGCGATATTTGATTTACAAGAGATTCTCTGCTGTTCTGTGTAAATTGACGAATGAGAATCTGTGCTATTTGTTGTAAACTGACAAATTAATTCAATATTTTTAGCTATGTCTATAAAAATTTTAGGGCTGGGTGCTATAAACCCAGTCTACAAAGTTGTAAGGGGAGGGTGCTATGAACCCTGTTTTGTACCCAAAAAAAAGCTGATAGGGTTGGGTGCTATGAACCCAACCCTACACTACTTCGGTTAGAACAGTCAACTCGTCAAGGGAAAGTGAAGCACGGAATGTTGGGTGAATATTTTGTTGACAAACATTGTGAACTCTTGTCAGCGGCCATTGAAACCGATTGAAAATGTAGCAAAAAAGCTTCCGATTAAACTTTGATTTATGAGGGTAGCGGCCCTTTAGCGGTAATTTACGCGAGTAGCTGGCCTTTAACTGTGGCCATTGAATGAGGAGCACGGCAGGGCGGGCATTGAATGAAAAAACTGCCGAGTGCGATTCGTTTGACTGCTGACACGATTGTTTGTGTTGATTGACAGCTGAAATTTTGTCAAAAGATCATTTTTCATGGAGGTGTGAAAACCAGCACCCGCCGACCCCAACAGCCTGATTTCTTTTTATAAAAGACATGGCGGAAATATTTTCTTCACTATCTCACCGGAAACCCATGCCGAAAAAATGTTTTTTTATTTTTTTTATTTTTAAAGATCAATAAAAAAAATAGTTAAAAAATCATCAAAGGCAATAACAAAACAATAAATTTTGAAAAGAAAAAAAAAACTTGTGAACTTGCAAAGCTGGATGCCGAAGGTCAAAACCACGCCAAAAAAAATATTGTTAAAAAATTATTAGATCATTCGAAAACAGGTCAACGAATCTAAATATAACAGAAAATATAGCCCGTTCTAACATTTGTCAGATGGTATGTGAACACTGCTTACAACACCACAAGAAACTAGAGAAAACAATACTACTAAACTACGACAAAACAAACATATGAAACCGTAGAATGATTAAAATCTGACTGACTTTCAGATAAACGTGTTTTTGCTCGGAATGGGTATTTAATATATAATGTCCATGTTTTTAAAATCAGAAGACGTTTATGGAACAAATGGTTGCATTAAAAAAGGACAGTTTATTTTCGCCGATCAGAGTTTAAATATGTCATCATTAGCTCTTCGAGTATGTGGTCTAGAGCGACACTAGGTTGGGCTATGGAAACTTCGAGGAATGGGCCATAGAACCATCAGAATGGCGTGTGGAAACATACAAGAATGGGCTATAGACCTGCTCAAGTATGGGTTAAATAATTCAAGAATGGGCAATTCAGCAATTTAGAAATGGGCTTTAAAGTGACAAAGAAATGGACTGTAGAGCAATTTATGATGACAATGTAATTGGTTATATAAAAAGTAAATCTTATAACTTCACAAAACATCACAACATCACAAAACATCATACCATCAAAGAACATCACTAAACCACAACTATGAAAAGTGAACACTGCAACACCACAAAAGCGTATCTATTTTTTTATTCCACCGTTTCATTAACATGTCGTGTATATACTAAAATAGCGAGAATTAGGGCAATATTCCTACATTGATAGAAAATATTTTTTCAATTATGCTTCCACCTCTAACTTAAGTGATTAAAACTAGAACTTTATACAAAATATGTTCTGTCAGTAATACAAACATACATTTTGTAGGTTTAACAAAAAATATTTTCAGTTTATACCTGTCAATAATACATGCTTGTGCAATCTGTGATTCCTATATGTAGGGAATACAGTAGTAAGTAAAAAATGTATGTATAAGGAAATCTGTGCAATAAAAACTAGTGTATATATGCGGTAAATATATTGATCATCTAGACACATATGTGGTTGTCATCTACATATAGATAGGGTTGTTATCTACATATATATGTGATGGTGTTGTCATCTACATACAGACGGGTTGTCATCTATATATAGAAGGGGTTGTTATCTACATATACATGGGGTTGTCATCTACATACAGACGGGGTTGTCATCTATATATAGAAGGGGTTGTTATCTACATATACATGGGGTTGTCATCTACATATAGATAGGGTTTCATCTGCATATATATGTGATGGGGTTGTCATCTACATACAGATGGGGTTGTCATCTATATATAGAAGGGGTTGTTATCTACATATAGATAGGGTTGTTATCTACATATATATGTGATGGGGTTGTCATCTACATACATACGGGGTTGTCATCTATATATAGAAGGGGTTGTTATCTACATATACATGGGGTTGTCATCTACATATAGAGTTGGGGTTGTCAACTATATACAGTTGGTGTTGTCCTCTACATACAAATGACATTGCCAGTATGAGTGTACCTCCCTACCCCACCCATTGATTGACTTTCTCCACAATACACATTTTTAACCCACCTACTGCTTGTTATTAGAGAAACACATTCCAACTGTATAGTCTAGCACTC